CATAATTTAGTGAAGACACTCTATACTTAATGTAAGGTATGAAGACCAAAATGGTGTGGCCTTTTGTTATCCTTATTTGTGTTAGAAAGAGTCTTAAATCGACTTGAAGTAATCAAGATACAACGATCATAAAGCACATCAATCCACCATATAAACTAACTTTAGGGCTTGTCCGAAGAAAAGTTGGGCTTCGAGGCACCTCTTGGTTCATAATTATTCAGCTCACTTCCATTTTGGGTGAAAATGTTTGATAAATAGATTCGAGGGTTGGTCCCACAAGAAGAAGACGGCGGTTTCATCTTTGCCAACTCTCGATTGGTTTTACGGAAACATTCTTGATGACGTTATCCCCGAAGCAATCTCCTTCGTTTCCGGTGAAAACATGCTAAGCTTTAGTCCATCATGACGGATTTCATCTTATAGCAAGAATAGCCAATGAAACTATTTTTACAATGAACTGAATGGGCTTCAAATAATATTATTTAATAATTATTATCGGATAGACTTGATTTAAGATAACATTAGACTAATTGACAATACATTTTGTAATAGGGAATATATAAGAAGAGATAAAAAGACATGAAACTTTTTGTAATGTTATGTTATTGCCTTCATGCGTTCTTTCTTAAAAGGTTGGCATTCTAGTAAGGGAATGGGGACTATAAGTGGTTTTCAGTGAAACTATGACACTTCCTTCAATCATGTCCACTTTTTGAGAGAAAGTTGACATATTCTCCTGTTCAGGTTGCCATAGAATAATGTACTCATGGGATCGCTTTTATATTGAGGGAACTTATCATCACATTCGTAGAGATGGCCGAACTCAACAGTGCCAGTAGACGCTGTTAGGTTCAAATATGCTCAATTGATATATTCACAGATGGAGAGGGTGTTGAGCCGCTTCAATGGAAGCGACTCAATTAGTATTTTCTTGTTCAACTCGCTTACATATCGAATGAAAGTGTTTGGTAAAGAGAATCGTAGGTCGATCCCACCAGGAGACAACGGCAGGTTGCTCTATGCCAGCTACCGATTGGCTGAGGGCTCGTACCTATAGGTTTTGTAATCATTCCCAGCCGGAATCGAATCCTGGTAGTGCAGCCTATAGTCTCGACACGTTAGCACAAAGTCTCACTTTCACGAGTGCGTCTCGGTCACTTTATACTAATATAGGAAGTACAGTCGATTGTAATATCAAAAAACAAGTTTGCTTCATTGACAATCCCACTAGAAAAAATAGATTTTGGAGAGGTCTGGCCTTTTTGGTAATTCACGTCTGCTCTGTCACCGAGAGGCACTCGTGGCAGTGTGGTTTGGTGGTAACGTGTCGAGATTATATGCTGTACTACCCGGGTTTGATATACACTAGGGGTTCTGATAAGATCTAAGTGATATAAAAACTGCCGTCCACCCCTGCCTGGTTAAGAGTAACTTTGAGAAAAGCCAGGCTGAGTGAAATTCAGTGAAAAAGTGAGCTTTACTCATATGGTTGTTGGAAAATTCAACTATCAGTCCTTCATCACCTCATGTGACCTAGGATGTCTGGGGCTTCGCTTCAAGACTTATTGATAGTTTCAAAATCTACTTGCTGGTTAGCTTCATTAGTTACTTTTTGCTTAAATAGCTATCTTATGAGATCATAATAACTACATTATTACCCTTATTATTTTGCTTTTCTTGCCCACCAGGTGTCCAACGCAGTTCCACTAATGTTGAAGTACTTTATTCTCGACAGCAAGTCGCTTTGATAGCCAAGGCCTACGGCATCGCTTCAATCGACATGGTTGATATCAATTTATCAGGTTGGTTGTGCAATTTTTCCTTCTGATTATGGATTTTCTGTCTCTTATGCTTCCAGCACATTTCGCTTATGAGTCGGTTGTTGACATCTCATAGTAATTCGCCATGTTCCGAAGCCAAGACAATGTCTTTAGTGAAGATCCTATAAATTCAGATATTCCATAACTGGATCGATTTGAATAGTTAGTATTATCATCAATTTTGTTTGGTGCCCCTAAAGTTACATAAAATATATTATAGTATAGGTGTACTATTTTCAACTGATTTCTTATTTACTCAATAGTGACTGCCTTAAATGAATTATAGAGAAGGCTTAATTTATTCATTAAATTGTTTATAGCCACCTATCACAGAGCCCTTTTCATCTAGCATGTACTACAGTTCCGAACTCCCTTCTTTATCATTTCATCAGCTCACACTGCAGGTTTCTATGTACCCCTAGGCTAAAAGCAACTGCATTATCTCATACGCCACGTGAACCAAACCATGGCGTCTAAGGAGAATTAAACTCCTCCCAACGTTTATGTTATATGGGATTTTTTCGTTAAACTTGATGCATTACTGAGTTATTTGTTAG